TCGTTCCTGGACATCTGCAACGCTCTCACGATCGACGCGAGGTGCGTGCCACCCGGGGCGCGCTCGCAGTTGGGCTTGGCCAAATCTGGCAACTATGCCTGGCGCCAAGTTTTCGAGAAGGTCATCGACGCCATCCTGCTGGTCCCTCCAGAGCACCTGGGCTTGGTGGTCATCTCAACAAGCCACGCTGTCAATCAATCGCTGCGCCGAGCCGGTCGCGCCGCGCATGCCGCCGCTTTCGTGTGAGTGCGGGCGTTGCCTGCCGAGCTCCTCGTTGATGTCCGCGCCCGCTGAGTGCCGGCGCAGCGTCGCACAGGACGAGATGCTGGCCCATGGGGGGCGGCGCCGCATCGAGGCGCTGAAGGCGATCGCCGATCTGGAAGCCGACGAAGCACTGCGCGTCTCTATCCTGCGACAGCGGGCCAGTCGCAAGGAGCGCGGCTTCCTTGCTGGTCAACGAGTTGCCGCTCGGAATGAGCATGGGCGGAAGAGACGCGGCAAGACGCCAGTCGCAGGATGCCGCCCCGCAATCTTCTGCCTCTTGGATTCTGGCACCAATGGGTAAGGCGAAGGTGCGTCGGCGTGGCTTCGGAGCGGACATCGGACTGTCCAAGTGGCTCGGGAGGACATCTGTCCTGCCATCGGCTTCGGGTTGGGCGCCCGGCGAGGAGGACCTCGAGCAGCTGAAGACGGCCGTGCAGGACTTGGCCGCTGCCGGGAAGGGCGACGATTCCGGCGTAGACGTGGAGACGCCCCCAGAAGGGCCCCCAAAGCCAGAAGATCCGCAAGCGCGGCGCGTGTGCTACCACGGCTGTCGTTACAGGTAGCGCCACTTGAGCCCATTCAGGAGGGGCCGATCGTGGCGGTCCTTGGAGGCAGCGCTACCCCCCGACCTGCCCTACCTGCTCGACCTCAGAAGCATGTCGCAACAGGGCCACCTGCGGTGGGCGATGGGCCTGCTGCCGCTGCTGCCCTGGCTGCTGCTTCGCCGTCGGGTGCCCGGCGAATGCCTGCCGACCAGGGCCCGGGACAGCAGGCGCCCTTCCCATGGCCAGCACCACCGCAGTTTGGTCCAGCACGTCCGAGAGGAAGGTCTGCGACACGAGCGCCGAGGAGGTTCGCGCCACATACGCGAGTTCCGTCAACGACTCGACCTGCATCAGTCCGTTCAGCACCATCTTCAGTGGTGGTTCCGCCTCCAGAGAAGAAGCTCCGATGCTGCAGGCCGGGCGCGATGCCATCTGCGCCTTCGTGTCCGTCAGAGTTCGTGTTCAACGATGCCGGCGCGATGAAGTTCATCGCTCATGGCGGCTGGGACTGAGTCGAAGAAACCGTTCTCAACAGGTCAAGGGTCTTCGCGGGCCTTGACGCGGTGCAGGGCGCCGACGGCGCGCGCCGCTCAGACCCCGAGACGTTCGAGAGTGATTTGCGTGACAAGACCTCTGAGGACGAGTGCGAGACGGTCGATGATTGCAAAGTGCCTGTACATGACTTACCACGAGCTCAACGGCGTCCTTGACGGGGAGTTGGACATGGTGGACTGCGCCGCAGCCCAGGCTGCGGACACCAACCCCGCGGACAACCTCTCCAGACGTGTGCAGCGCCAGCTGGATCGAGGGATCCCGCGGCGGGAGGTCGTGGACAACCCGGGGGAGAAAATCAGAAAATCATGGAGTACGTGAAGGCGCTGCGCAAGGAGTGCCAGAACTGGGGCGACTGGAAGTCGGTGCGGGCCTGCTCTCAGGAAGAAGCGGATCGCGTTCGGCGAGATCCGCATCTGCGTGGACGCTGTGTTCGCTCACGCGTGCGCTACCGCGACAAGAACTTAGGATATCCCCCGCTGAAGGCCAATGCCCGACCAGTACAGCTGGGATTCTCGGACCCATACATCGGGAAGTTGCCTCGCAACACCCCAGTGTTGACCGACGCCGGCAAGAAGCTGATCTGCCATATTGCTGTGTCACATCGCTGGCGGGCGGGTACTGGAGACGCTGGGCGCGCTCTCCTTCAAGGCGGAGCTCAGAGTGAATGTGTGTGTGGGGTGGGCCATCTTCATAATTCCATCAAAGGACCCATTTGTTCATCCAGCTGGAGTGTTCACTACGCTGCTGAAATTGGGGGCCCAGCTGCACGGCCTCGACTCTGCGTCGTTCTTGTGGTATTTCCCTGACGGCGAGTTGGCTTGTCGTGGGAAAGCGCGTCGGCGACGCACTGGCTACGCACCGCCTGGACTCCGATTTCTCCCCGATCGAGGAGGCGATCCGTTGGCCAGGCTGGCAGTGGAATAACTTCGTGTTTCTTGGTGAACAATGCCATTTACCAGACGGACTACACCATGGCGGTCGCAGTAACGAGGGTGGGATATATGTCGAGCTCGAGGGCTTCACTGAAGGTGACGCGCCCAGAACGGGAGGATCTGGAGTCAGCCGTGGGTGCACTACAGTGGCTTTCAGGACGCACGCGACCATGCCCTTCGGCCTCAGTTTCCCTGATTCACAGGACCGATGATCCTGAGCTCAACGACCTCCGCCATGCCATGAAGCATGTTGAGTATGCTCATCGCGCGCCAGACACGGGCTTGCTGGTGGTTCCAATCGCCTTGGATAAGGCTTGCTCTGTGAGTTGCGCCGACAGTTCTTGGGCGAAAGCTCTGGGACTGCAGACGCAGATTGGGACCTTGGTGTTTCTCGCAGATCAAACGATCTTTGAGGGGCCTTCCCCTGGCGCGTTGCTTTTCCACAAATCCAAGAGAACTCCTAGAGTTGTGCGCTCAACCTTCCCAGGCGGAGCCTTTTTCTCAGGACCTGGAAGTGGACTATGCTTCGCACTTGTCGAAATTCATGTCCGAGATGCTCACCGGGAGGCCAGCCGGATGACGCCCGCCGATCTTCGAGGTGATCACGGTGACCGGTTGCAAGTCTTTGTGCGATGCGCCGCACCGACTCACTCCAAGCTCGTCCGCAAAGGGGATCGTGATTGACGTGATTTCGAAGAGAGATGAGGTTTCAACCAAGAATGTGCGGTGCATCCCTACGACACAATGATCGCAAATGTGATGACCAAGGAGGACGCGAAGCTACGCAAGAAGCTTACCAAGTTCCTGGCCGACCCTGTGCTATCGCTGGTGGCCGACCCTGTGCTATCGCTGGTGCTATCGCTGGTTGAGTGGTGCAGACGGTTTCCACCAACGCAAGTGATTGATCCGTTCGTGCTGGTGGTCGCGTTTCGCTCCCATCCGCTGGGTTCTGCCCAAGATGCTGAGTTTTCTGATTTGTTTCGAATTATATCAGTCGCTTCGCGACTCGAGGCGGTTCTTTTCACATCGATTTTGTATTTCCAATATCTGTCGCTTCGCGACCATGTTCTAGTCTATGAGCAGGACCAGAGAGAACCTCCGGAGTCCACTAGTCATGATGTTTCTGTGCACTTTCTGGTCCCTGCTAGTGCTGCTGCTGCTCTGACTCTTCTTGCCCTTAAATCTATTATGGTTCGATGGGGGCCTCTTTTGCTGCTACGCAGGCGCAAATACATTTGCCCGCGAGACGGCCTTTTGAACATATCCACGATTGTCACCAGCGCTTGCGTGTGCGCTGCAGTATGCATGCATGCATGTGTGTATGTAGTTATTTAGGTATGTAGGTATGTGGTGTATGTGTATATGTGTGTATGTGTATGTGTATGTGGATGTGGATGTTTGTGTGTGTATGTGTATGTTTATGTGTATGTGTGTGGTGTGTGCATGTGGACGTGTATGTGTATGTGTATGTGTATGTGTATATGCATGTGCATGTATGTATGTACATGTAATGCTACATGTATATATGTTTTATGTGAAACGTCTGTGTGTATGTATGCATGTATGCATGCATGCACGCATGCATGCATGCATGCATGTCAGTGTGTGCATGTATGTATGTATGCATGCATGCATGTATGTATGTATGTATGTATGTATGTATGTGTGTACGTACGCTTATTTGCATACACATATATATAATTAAATTATATATGTGTGTATGGATGGACGGATGGCTACATGCATGTATGTATGTATGTATGCCTGTGGGTATGTTTGTATGTATGCATGCCTGTGTGTAGGTCGCACTGTCAGTGTCTATAGAGATGTATGCGTTTGCGCGTGTGTGCGCGTGCCCTCTCCTGAGCTTGTAGGTGGTACTTCGTCTCCCCCCTTGCGGTTGCTCCCTCTGCGAGTCCCTGCGCAGCATGGCTCCCCGTGGGTGGGCCCCGCGATTCCTCGCTGGGGCTGCGCAGGAGCGATCGTGCGATGCGCCCTCCGCTTGGGGCGCTCGCTAGCAGTGCAGGACTCCGCCTCCTCGCTGCTCGCGAGGCCGCGCTAAAATGCGTGCCTGCGTGTGTGTGCGTGTGTGTGCGTGTGTGTGCGTGTGTGTGTGCGTGTGTGTGCGTGTGTGTGTGTGTGTGCGTGTGTGCGTGTGTGTGTGTGTGTTTGTGTGTGTGCGCGTGTGTGTGTGTGCGTGTGTGTGTGTGTGTGTGTGCGTGTGTGTACGTGTGTGGGTGTGTGCGTGTGTGAGTGTGTGTGTGTGTGTGTTTGTGTGTGCGCGTGTGTGTGTGTGCGCGTGTGTATGTGTGTGTGTGTGTGCGTGTCTCGCGGGCAGGCGACGATTTGATCCGGCGAGGTGAGCGCTGCCAGGGGCAGCGCTGAGGACTTGGCGCGTCTTGCGGCACGGCGCCTCGCGCAGCTCCCGAAGGCTCCACGCTGACCGAAGCCTTGCCGTGCGCCCGCGGCTGCGCGTCGCGCCTGCCGTGCGTCTGTCGCAAACAATTTGGCGGTGTTGGGTGCAATGTCATTACGTGCGCGCCGGTTTGCGGGCTCCCGCTTTCTCTCCATCCAGGATGTCGGGTGCACCTCCACATGGCTGTTCGCGCCCTGTTCGGCGCTGGTAGCCTCGCCGGAGGAGGAGGAGGAGGAGGAGGAGGAGGAGGAACCAGTGCTTCTATCCGATCCCCCCCGCCGTGGCCAGGCAGTGCTGAAGAGCCTGCACGCTCAGTGCGACGAGACGGTGACGCCCTACGAGGAGCTCACCAGGCGGCGCGCGGCGGAGGTCGCCGGCCTGAAGGAACTCGGCGGCCATATGCCAGGGCGTCCATCCTTCCTCCTGGCGCCCTCCCGCCGAAAACGGCGAGGACCCCCAAAGGTTCGGGGAATCTTTGGTCGTTGGCCCTTTTCTGATCGCCCCATGGCCTGGGAGCGGGTCTCGGGGATACGGTATGGCAGCCGCCATGGTGTACGAGCAGGGCAGGGGTATGCGGTCGTGGGAAATAGGCGTTCGCACGACAACCGTGTACTGCGAACGGCAGGTCGACGATGACACCACGCGCAAGGCCCACCCTCCCGGACTCGTTGTGCTCGATTCGGTCACCGCTCGCCGTCCCGTCGTCGCCCGTGGTTTGAGGGGCAACGTGACGGGATGCATCGGTTCCCAATCGCCCATTCATCGCCGACGAGGGCCCGACAGCCCACCCCGCCCGGGAACGTTGGGATTCGACTCTCTCGGGGGCCCATCGCTGATCTGTGGGGAGCGCATCGCGCAGCTTCCGGGTGGATGCTCCCCCCCCCCTCCCCCGCGGAGTTGGCCCCCGCCCCTCTCGCTGCCCCTCGCTCGGAGGTGGATGGACCTCCTGCCCTGACGCGTCGATTGAGGAATTGGGAATGGGCCGTGTTCGGCTCGCGAGAGGGCGGCGCAGCCGTCGCTTCTGCGGGCCCAGGTCCGCCGGTTTCGGCCCAAGGCCGTTGTCGCTGAGGGGAGGCATGCGAAAGGGAGGCTTGTCCTCACCACCCACCAAACCATCCCAACCCAACCCGAAGGCTCTGATTTACCCTCGATTTCCAGTGGGCGGGGGTCGGGAAACATAGAAAAAACACATGTGGAACCCTTACCCCCCCCAACCCGAAATTCGGGTCTTCGGGTTGGGTTGGGGTGGTCTGGTAGGTAGTCATGTCCACCGCCTCGGCCACCCCCGCCCTCACGCGCGGGGCGGCCCCCCGAGAGGGGGCCCGCGGCCCTCCCGGGGCCGAGGGGTGGGCGCCGCGGCGGAGAGGCGGCGGAGGGGTTGGCGGAGGGGCCGCGGGGCGCGAGGGATAAAACGACGCGAAGATCGGGACAAAATCGGATCGGGATAACTCGAAATCTCTGAGAATCGGCGGGTTTGGAGGATGTGTATTGGGCGCCGCGGCCGCTCCAGAGCGTTCCGCAACGCTCTGAGAGCGCTCCGGAACGCTCTGGAGCGATTCATCCCGACCCTGGCCCTGTTTTGAGGGAGGGCCGGGCCCGCCGGCGGAGGCTGGCGGAGGGCAGGCAAGAGCCGGCGGAAGGCCGAAGTCGGGCCTGTCCCTCCACGAGGGGGGATAGTCAAAAAAGAGTCCAGCAACAGTCGAGCGGCGCTGTCTTTTTACCGTTCCTGCCCATTCACGGGGGGTCTTTTGTTGAGCACTTTTCAGTTTTCGCCGAAAATCCCTTTGTAGGGGGACACGCCCGACTCAGCGGAAGTCATGATCGGCCCTCCAGGAGGTGTGTGTGTGTGTGTCTTCGTGGTTGGCGCGCTCGGTGTGGAGTGCGTGCGCGTCGGAGTGCCCTCCGCCTCCTCCAGTCCTTCGCGGCCGCCCCGTCTGCCTCGTCCTCCCCCCCCCCCTCCTGCACGCAGGCCAGTTCGCGGTTCGGTCGCCCCGATCGCTCACCGCTGGTGCGGCTCGTCTGCCTCGCCGCCGACGAAAACCGTGTGTGTGTGTCTGTATGTGTGTGTGTGTTTCGTGGTTCATGGCGAAGGTGGACGTGCAAGACGCGGCTGGCCAGTTCGATCGCGGGATTCAAACGTGGCCAGATGCCTGTCCATGGTTTGGCCATCGTGTAACCAGCGCTTGGCCTCTGCACATTCCACACGTGAACCCAGCCATGGGCCACGTGTGCTTCCAGTTTCATGTTATGTATATAGACACCACGGTGTGCCTTATTGCCAAGTCTTGAGGCAAATGTGTGAACCAGTACTGCCACTGTCAATTGCGCTGCAATGACAACCCGCAATCTTATCATTCATTGTAGAAGTGGTTGTTCCTATTCTACCTGTCATCGCTGGCACGGTTTCTCTTCTAGTCTCGCCAGCACGTTCCGGGTATCAGCACCTCATTGCACTAGCACCACCAACACCATGATTGCCGCCATGATATGGAGGATCCGCATTACGCCGTGGCGCCCTTCCAATGAGCGTCAGCATCACCGTGATCATCATACTTGGGATTCTCTTATCATGGCACTGGTCGCGCTACCTCGGGCCTTCTTACTCGGGTCTCTCGAACCGTCAGCGGCGGTGGGGTGCGAGCCGGCGTCGCAAGATGGGCAGGGTGACAGGGATGGCAGCAGAACGCATCATGCCACACTCGAGAGCTTCTGCTTCCCCTCCCTCTGCGTCTAGAGTGTGGCCCCCATCCCCCGCCCTCGTGTCGTAGTGATCTCTCGGTGCGGGTGGGCCGTGCGGGGGGGGGGTGCGTGATGCGCCTTCTCCTGCCGTGAGCTCATATGCCACTCCGCGTCGCCGCGCTGCAGTGGGGTCCGGTGAGCAGGTCGGCCCCGCAACAAAAAACACCTGCGTCCCCGCTGTGCAGGGAGCACGGGGGGCCCTCGCAGGAGGCGCCGCGCCCTCTCGGGCGCGCTCTGTGAAGCAGAGGCCCGGCTGGGCTTCGGCTTCTCCGCGTCCGAGCCCCTCCTCCTCCTCCTCCTCCTCCTCCTCCTCCGCCTCCTCCTCCTCCTCCTCCTCCTCCTCCTCCTCCGCCCCTCGTGCGCCGGCGGGGCGCACGCGGCCAGGACGCCGAGGGGAGGGCCACTTTGGGGCTCGGGAGGGGCCCCGGCTCTCGGGCCGGTCCCCAGGTCCAGGTCGGGGGACCTACTCCGTAGACGGGCTAACGGCGATGTAGGTAACGGCGGTGTAGCTTTCTGTATTGCGGGAACGCGTGGTTCGCGCTTTCCTACAATTCGCTGTGTCGTGTTCGCTCGATCCATTCGCATATTGGAAATGTAGGAAAGTGTGTTTCGTGATTTCCTACACTTTGGTTCCGAACATTACCGTTAAGCAACATCGCCGTCAGCCTGGCCTTGGCTAGTGGCCAAGGCTCGGCTGCGTGCGGCGTCCGATCTCGTCTGTCGTTTGCCGCTTTCCGTCGTGCTGCTCCATCTAGTCGTTGCTGATTGGTCCTCATCTTGCTCCGCGTCTGCTGCCAGGGCTTCTCTGGGGGCCTCTCGGAGGCCGCGGGAGCAGCCTCCTGGAAGCCTGCTTCTTGGGGCCCTCCGGAAGCTTTTTGGAGAAGAGGCCTCTCGGGGCACGCATGTTGCGAATCTTGGGGCCCTCTTGTTGGGGAGGGCTCCTGGAACCCCGGCGAGTTTGGCCTCTCTTGGGCAGCTCTTGGGGTCCGCCTGAGGGCTTTTTGGTCGTCTTCGGGGCCTCTTGGCCCGTGCTGGGGACTTCTTCTTGGCCCGTGCTGGGGCTCTGGCGCTCTTCGGGGCCTCTTGGCCCCGTCTTGGCCCGAGCCGTTTCTGGGCTTTCTTGGGGACTTCCTGGGCCGTCATGGGCTGGTCTGGGGAGGCCCCGCGGGTCAATGATTTTTGCGCCTTGAGGCCCCACTGGGGGTTCTCTTGGGGCTCTCTTGGGGTGTCTTGGGGGCCTCCTGGGCCGTCTTGAGGCCATCTTGTGTGTTCCTTCAGGTCTCTCTGGCGTGTCGGAGCCCTTGGGAGTCGTCTGCGAGGGCATGTGGGCATCTTGGTGGCCACGGGTGGTGAATCTCGAGGCTCCGAGGGCCCCAAAGGTGCGCCGGAAGCAACACATGGCAACACGAGCAGGACGGTCCCGACCCACCAACCGTCTCAACCGCGGTGATCAGATCGGCTGTTTAGAGCGCACCTCGACATTAGACATGTCGCGCTTCTGCCTCTTTTAGCCGCTGGTGTTTCAAAGGAGATGCCTTGGCACTGGCCTGGAGTACGTATCGATGCGACGTGGGTGTTCGATGGATTGGTCGCCGTCTCCTTCTTCTGCCCCACTCCTCACAGAAAATGCATCAAGCGCGGAGGCGGATTTGGCGCCCTCCCACCTCCAATCTCTTTTTCCTCGTCCTTGTGCTTGTCTTCCTCCTCGCTGTCCCCTCGCTGCCCTCCCCTTCATCCACGCTGTCATTCTCGTCATCCGCCGCCTTGTCGTCGCCCTCGTCCGCCACTTCCTGTCCAAGCTACGAGCCCAGTGGACAACATCGGCGCTTCCCGCTCTTGTCCGATCGGGTTTGGCACCCTCCCCCCGATCCCCGCGGCCCCTCAGGAGGCGCTGTCCATCCTCGAAGGCGAGGCCGTGCTGCTCCAGAGGGGCTCCAGCAGCCGCAGGCCCCCACCCCCCTCTCGCCCAGCCAGCGCCGACACCAACACCACGGACTTCCTCTTATTATTCTTCCTCCTCCTCCCCCCCTCCTCCTCCTCCTCTTCCTCCTCCTCCTCTTCCTCCTCCTCCTCCTCCTCCTCCTCCTCCTCCTCCTCCTCCTACGTGGCCAACCAAGCCAAATTCTCCAGGCCACGGCTCCACCCACTTGATCTGAGCCAGTCCTGGGCACTGTCCGCAACGGTGGTCGTAACAGCTGGGCATCACGGGTCCAGCTGGAGAGTGCTTCTGCTGGTGAAGTCAGCCCTCTTTCTGTGCTCAGGCCCGCCTTGGGTCTTTGGTTGGAGGAAGACTGCAAGCCCTGCCAGATCGATCCTCTACAGACGACTCAGTCTGCTCTTCCCGGATACGGGGTGTTTTTTTCGCGGTTGCCCCGCGCTGAACGTTTTTGGTGCGACCCCCGCGCGGGGTCGCGCTCAGGGGTCCTAACCGCGAGGGCGCGGACATGGATATGTTCGCCGCTCGTGATAGTTATCGCCCTGCCCCTCGTGCCGTTCAGCATGAGTCGCGTGACGTTGTCCGCACGCTCGGGCGGGAGGGTGGCGCGGCGGCTCAGAGGCCGTGGACTAGTCGAGGGATGTTTAGCCCGAGATTTACCAGCCCGAAACGGCTACCCCTAAGATCGGCATCGCCGCATCTCTGTGCCGATCTCGAAGGTTCGCCCCGCTTGCGAGGGCACACCCCCAATATTGCCAATCGGCCAACGCTCGTCAAGCTCACAGGCAGGGACGTGCTCGAGGCTGGTTTGGGGTCGGGTGGGGTCGGGGAACGAGCTGGGCCAGAGGCTTCTTCTTCTTCTTCTTCTTCTTCTTCACACGGGGCTGTCCGTCGCGGTGATGGGGGGCAAAAGGGGCGATAGGTCGGGTATAGCCAGGACCCCAGGTAAGGGGACCCGGTTAGTGGTAGGGCCTTGGAGCCCCGAAATTGGCCAGAATCACTAAACCAGGTCTGCCGCAGCTGGTGTTTTCTCGCGTGACGGCAGTTCCGGTTTGTGGAATGGGGCCGGAGGGCGTCCCCCAGTACACATCATTCAACCATCTCCCACTAAATCCAGTTCTGCCAACGCCCGAATAGGGGAGGGCTGAGGGGGACAATCATGGGCAACCGTAGGGGGCGATGGGATGGGCTGAGGGACGATGGGGTAGGCTGAGGGGGGCAACAGGGGCGGGGGCAATCTGTGGCAACGCTGGGGAGAGGGGTAGGCTCAGGGGGGAATGCATCGACCTCCGATCGCCCATTCATCGCTGATAAGGGGCTCGATGGCCCACCCCGCCCATGAACGTGCGATGCCGCTATTGGGGGCCGATCGCCGATCTATCAGCGATGTTTCACCGATTCAAGGTCGACGTCCCCCCCCACGAGCAAGTCTTCCCCTGCCGTACATCCTCACAAGCAGCAAAGCCAGATTGGCACACATAGATTATAGACAGTCCTGAGGCAAACGAGAGACGCAGAGGTATACCCCCCATGATGCTAAGGGGAGCGCAGAGGGACCCTCAGCACCGACTTCAGTTTTGCTGAATGGTCTGGGCCACCACTTGCCCATGCTTGCGCCTCTCCGTCGTGATAGAAACCGCCAGCATTTGCACTCCGTAGCCATTCTGGCTCAAGTTGCGTAGCGGTGTTCTCTTGTGGCTCAAGTCTTGGATTTGCAGACTAGCAGCTTTCCTGCCTCGATTCGTGACGCAAGGGATCTCCACCTTGGGGTTCATGTGGGCATTGTGTCAGAGCTCGGACTAGTTGCATTTCCCAGTTTCTGTTTTCTTGCAACTTTGTGTGCGTTGAACCGCAGTTGGCACCGATACTTGCACAGGGCTCTTGCATTTCCGGAATGTCGCCGTAGTGTGGATTGTCGCCACTGGGATGGAACGATGGTGTGTCGCAAAATCGACGTGCCGTGTTCTGCTGGTCTGATTGCTGAGCATGCCCCTTGGATACCTGGGACGGACCGGCTGCTGTGTTGTTGCTTCCCTAGGTTGGGCGAAGCAGGCCCGCGAACTGGCGAGTTCCGCGTGTTTGGTTGCGATGGCGTGTTGCAAAACACAATCGTCGTTGATGATGTCAAAGGTCACCTCGTCGACATCTGTTTCGTCGACCGTCTGAAGTTTGCTTGTGCTGTCGTCAATGTTGCATGCGTATTTGTGATTGGCAGAAGTCTTGAAGGGATCAAGTCGCCACCGGCAAAGATAACTTTCAGTCTCGGAGGGCCCCACGTTGTTATTCCATGTGTGGATGCGCCCGAGGTTTCACTTGATCTATTGTATGTTGCCTCCCCGGTGGAACTCTTTGATTTTCCGTGGCAAGAATGATGCAGCATAGCGGTGTTGAAATGGAGCCCGATGATGAGACTACTGGGACGGGGATCAAGATATTGGTTTGTTCATTGAGTTGGTTGACATTCAGATTCATCGCACGCTATGGAAGACATAGTTCGGCAGTTATTCGCATGTCGCCAGTTTTATTGATTCAGGTTTCTTGTCATGGGTGGGCAGAGCGGAACTAGTTGTTGCTTCTTGGTGGACAGAGGGAGTGGTACAATACTGCATGTGTACCATGCCGACTTCGGCATGCAAAGGGGTCATGATTGTTGCCCATCTTCTGACGGATCGTGTTTAACCACGAGGAATCGTATCGTCGAGCTCGTCCCAGGCAATGATGTTCCAGTGTCCATAGCCCAGCAGGTCCGCTTGTAGCTTCCAGTAGAGGATGCAGCGATTGCCAGTGTAGAGTAGCCGCATGATGGATCCGGACTTTTCTGTTTGCAAGGCAAGATGGATACGACCACAACGCTCGATGTCTTTGATACTGAGACAGGGAGCTTTGTCTGGCGAAGACTTGAAGGTCTTGCTTCGCGATGCTTACGTCTCGAGCACAGTATTTCTTCAGATGGTTGTTCTCGCTGTGACGAAGCACGGTATGAAAGAGCACGGCGCAGGTGCCAGGGCTCTCACGATCTGAGGCACAAACACCATCAAACACACATTTCCTGGTCCCGATGTGCGTCACTACTCTGGATGGGGCAATCATCGCTGGGGGGCACGTGCTGTCGGAACGGGTGGAGAGGGGGTTGGAGGAGAAGGAGGAGGAGGAGAAGGCGGAGGAGGAGGAGGAGGTGGAGGAGGAGGGGGTGGGATGGGCAAGCTCCGTCTGAAGGTTGGTCGCCCACCCTTCGATTACTACCCCACCCAGATTGGCGTCCTTTCCTTTGAAACAAAAAAACAAGCACACACACACGTTGTGTGTTTTTGTTTTTGTGTGTGTGTGTGTGTGTTTGTGTTTTTTTTTTGTGTGTGTGTTTTGTGTTGTTTTGTTGTGTGTGTGTGTTCTTTTTTTTGTGTGTGTGTGTGTGTGTGTGTTTGTGTTTGCCTGTGTGTTTTTTGTGTGTTTTTTTTGCTCCACTTTCCAGTGGGGCGCGAAAAGCGCCTCGCGCCTCGCGGCCTGGGCCGGGGCGGCTGCCCTTCTCCCCAGAGAGCCGCGCGAGGCCTCCTCCTCCTCCTCCTCCCGCTCCTCCTCCTCCTCCTCCTCCCTCCTCCTCCTCCTCCTCCTCCTCCTCCACCTCCTCCTCCTCCTCCTCCTCCTCCCCCTCCTCCCCCTCCTCCACCTCCACCTCCTCCTCCACCTCCTCCTCCTCCTCCACCTCCTCCACCTCCTCCACCCCTCCGGGTGGCCCGGCGCCTCGCAGCCACGCCGCACCGCGGCCTCCCCCAGGCGGGCTGCGCCAAGGCCTTGGCATCGCTCGGACGTGTGCACTTTCTCCTCGGCGAGGACCATCCTGGACCATCGAGCAAAAAAAACACGCACGACATCGAGACATGCACGGGAAGTGGACGTCCGAGCGACGGCAAGAGGCTGGTCGACATGAGGGGGGGGGGTCGGTGTCGCCCGCTCCTCCCTGGAAGCAGGGGTCGGGGAGGAGGGAGGGTCGAGGTCGACCAAGTGTTGGCGGATCTCTCCTCGTCGAGAAGGAAGGGGCCCCTGACCCGAATAGTACCATGAGGACGCAGCCCAACTCGTGTCCCCGTCTTCGCACTGGGGGCAATCCGTGTGGACGTTTTGGTGTTGTACATCTGCAGGAGGGGCGCTCTATATCCCTAATGTTCTGTGCCGCTCGACGCAGGTCCGCTCTCAAAGGGGTCGAGTCTTCTTATTGCTAATCATCTTCGTGGGCGTTGGGGGGCCCAGGGGCCCCTGCGGTCCGTCTCGCGGAAGGGGTGGCGACCCCCTTGGTGGTGATGCCCCTCGAGATAGCCTCGCTCCGCAGCGTCCTCCTGCACTCCTCCCTCCCGTGGTCCTCCCCTCCCCTCCCTTCCCTCCCTCCCTCCCCTCCTTCCTCCCCTACCCTTCCATCCCCCCCCCCCTCCCCTCTTCCCTCCCCTCCCCTCCTCCCTCCCCTCCCGTCCCCTCCTCCCTCCCCTCCCCTCCCCTCCTACCTCCCCTCCCCTCCCTTGGTTCTCCCCTCCATCCCTGGGTCCTCCTGCACTCCTCCTCCCGCGCTCGTCGGGCGCGACGCCTCTCGGTCCTCTCCTGGCCCGCGCGCGGAAATCCGCCCCCCCCCACCTCGTGGGCGAAACGCGCATCCGTAGCCGCGGCCTCGCGGGCCAGGCCCCTGGGCCGCGACCCCGCGGATACGGGGCGTTTCTTCGCGGATGCCCCGCTCGGAGCGTATCCGTGCGACCGCGTGTCCGTGGGATCGGGGTCCCGGAATGCATCGGGAGGGACGGGCCTTCTCAGAAGGCGGCCTGGCTTCTCGGAAGCCCTCGGGCCTGATGAGAAGTGTTCTGTGTCTTCAGAGGGCCAGAGGACATCCGAGCCTTCTGAGATGGCCCGCCCTTCTCACTTCTTCTCGGGCTCGCCGCAGGCTGGAGACGTCAGGATTCTCGAGGACTACGACGACGAGGACGACGACGAAGACAAGGACGATGATGACGACGACGACGACAACGACGACGAGGACGAGGACGACGACGACGACAACGCCGACGACGTCGACGATGAGGACGAGGTCGACGACGAGGTCAACGACGACGACGAGGACAACGACGACAGGTGGCCGCCCCCCGCCCCGACGCCGCGAGGCTGCGGGCGGTGCGCAGGCACGTCGCGGCCTGAGGGGCGAGCTTCGGCGGCCGCGCCGCCGCGCGCAACGGCTCTCTTGCCAGGCCTCCACTACGGGGTCGGAGCAGATGGTTCTCCTCCTCCTCCTCCTCCTCCTCCTCCTCCTCCTCCTCCTCACCCTCCTCCCTCCTCCCCTTCCTCCTCCTCCCTCCTCCCCTTCCTCCTCCTCCTCCTCCTCCTCCTCCTGCTCCTCGTCCTCCTCCTCCTCCTCCTCGTCCTCCTCCTCATCCTCCTCCTCCTCCTCCTCCTCCTCGGCCAAGAGCGTTGTGATCACCGTCGGCGGCGCGCCCGAGGGGGAAGGTGAGGAGGGGGCTGGCCTTCTCAGCAGGCTCAGAAGTCCCCCTCGGCCTTCTGAGAAGTTGGCTAAGCCTCTTCCGGGGGCGCAGAAAGCTCATCATCAGGCCAGGGGGCCTCTCAGAAGCCCCGCCGCCTTCCGAGGAAGCCTTCTCCCTCTCACTTCCCCCGGGCGCGCCGCCGAAAGGGGGGGGGTAATGACTAGGGTGGGGGAGCTGACAATGACATACACATGAACTTTCGGAGGTCCGCGCGGATTTCTCGGATTGGCGCTGGACCCCCCTCCCTGGCGCGCAGAGCGCGCCACGGGCGTCGCGCCGCCAGGGGGCCCCAGCGCCGATCCGAGAAATCCGCGCGACCTCGATCGGGGGGAAGGGGAATCTCCTTGCGGGAGCTACAAGATCTGCCCCAGATCTCATGGCCCACACTCTTTCTTTCATTGCGTCCTCCGGTCTCAAGGGCACCCTCGAGGGCGCGAAGTTCTTCGCGCTTCGCGCTTCGGCTCCGATCCCTCCTCCTCGTCCTCCTCTCCTCCCCCGGGAGGCGGCGCGAGAGCGCGAAGTGATTCGCACCTCGCGCCTCGCGCAGCGTGAAGCGCGACGCTGGGAGCCCTTGTGCAAAGAGCTGCCCCGGACCTCGTGGCCCGCACTCCTTCCGTCATTGCCCAGGAGGGAAAAAAAACACAGACACAATGAATCGTCGATTCCCCAGAAAATATGGGAAACTATGGGAAATGGGGGGGGGGGGGGGAAGACACAACACCCGAAAACATAAGAACATGTTTTTTTATATATATAAAATACTTGTGTGTATTTATAGGAAAATATTAGGGGAATCTCTTATAGGGAAAATGTGGGGGATCTTTTTATTTGGGTAAATTATGGGGAATATTTTCTAGGAACATCTTGGGGGAATATTATACAGGGAAAGTGTTTGGGAACATATTTTATGGGGAGATATAGGAAAATATGGGGAACCTTTTTATTTGTGCGTACTTATTTGTGTGCCCTGGGGCCCCTTCAATTGCGTCCTCTGGCCTCCCCCCCCCCTCCTCCCTCCTCCTCCCTCCTCCCCCTCCTCCTCCTCCTCCTCCTCCTCCTCCTCCTCCTCCTCCTCCTCCTCGCCCGCGCGCGTGCCTCGGTCCCTGCGCTGCGATATCCCCCCCCCTCTCGGGCGCCCCCCTCTCGGGCGCTCCCGAGGCGGGGGGAGGCCCCGCCCGACGAAGGCGAGGCTCAAGTCCGGGCCTGTCCCCCTCTACAGTGGCAGGCCCAGAGGTTGACACCAACACCAATATCGGCGGTGCGCCTCCACCGAGGGAATCGACTACACGAAAGAGTGACCCTTCGCCGGAGTGACCTTTCGTGCGGGCTCATCGGGCTCCCCCCGATCGCCGAGCACGATGCGATATCAGTGGGTCACGCCCTTGGGTTTGGCTCCCTCACGCCCCCAAAAGCTGCGCACCAAAGGTCACTCTTACCCAGGGTCACTCTTACGTCTAGCCGAGGGAAGAAGATCCCAATCTCGGGATGGTGGTAATAGTCTGACTTCCACGGTGACCGAAACATTACCACCAACACCGAAATCTGGGATCAGTCCAAAAATTGGCCGGGGATTATGTTTTGAGTTTTTTTTGACCTTTTGGGGGTATTTTGGGGGTATTTTTTATTCTTCGTCGAGAATCCCCCTGTAGGGGGACAGGCCCGACATAAGACAAGGCGGCACGAGCACATCAGTCTTCGCCGGTCCGCGACGGAGCCTCTTGGGGCGCTCCTCTCGGGGCGCTTCTCGGCCATCCTCCTTCGAGGAGGGGGTGCGGCATGCTTCGAGGGAAAGAGGCAGCTGTTGGGATATAAGCACTCGGAGGTCGGCGCGGAGAGCTTGGGTCGGCGCTGGACTGGGCCCCCCTTGGCGGCGCCTCTGGCGCCGCCTCTCTCCGCGCGCCAGGCGGGAAGGGGTGCAGCGCCGATCCAAGACATCGGTGCGGCCCCTCGAAAATTAAGTCATGTGTAGTTTTCTTGCGGCTCATGGCGGCTTCAGCACGGCCCAGGGCAATGGATTGTGGCTCCAGCAGGTAATGGCGACTCTGACATGGCCCAGGGCCACCAGAATGAGCAAGACGGTTGGATCGCAACCTCACGGTCTGCAAGTGGCGTTTCGAACATTCTTCCTATGGAATTGACGCTCCGATCGCGCTGCAGCTGGCACGAGGGTGAAGATCGACCCTGGCCTAGGTAAATGTGTGTGTTCTTCGTCTGGGGCTCTCACCTTGGAACGTTATCTCCATTGGGTCTCAGGCCATCGTCGGGGACGGACCGTGCGGTGAGGTCTTCGGGATTCCGAGGTCGCCGCACGGTCTGTCACCGCACTCGTTTGGGACCCCCAGCATCGGCGAAGGTGCTCCTGTCCTTAATGACCCGCTTTTTTGTGGCCATGCTTCGAGTGTAGCTGGCGGGGCCGACTCCCCTGTCTCGGGCCGGGCGAAAGGGGGGGATTGGGAAAGGGGGGGTTACGAAATTTGCTGCATGCAGCTGGTTTCGGCCTCACCGAGGGGCCCATTCCTCGATACATAGCCGCCTCCGGCGCCGGGAGGCGCCGGGAAAATCAGCTACGTGAGCTGATGCTCAAACCCCCCCTTTACTATCCCCCCCTTTCGCCCGACCCGACTGTCTCCTCCCGGCAGGTTCGCATGGTGTCGACACGGTGGCGGCCCCGGCGCGGGCGTTCAAGGTTGAGCGCCGCCGGTGGCCAGGCTCGGCGGATCTCGAGCGCCTCGCGCTGTCGGGATGCCGCCATCGCTCGGGCCGAAGGGTCCGCGGGGTGCCGCAGACCATCAGCGAGCGAAGAACGGTAGAAAATAAACCTTTTCGCCGTCGGGGACACCTGCCCCCAGGGCGGCCGGAACGTTCATACCCCTTACGGTGGCACCGTAAGGGGTATAGTTTTTCCAGCCGCCCAGGGGCAGGTGTCCCCGACGGCGAAAAAGTTTATATGTTATACCGTTCTTCGCTCGCTGAGACCAGTGCGGCAGGGACCCCCCTGGGGACCCGCACCGGAAGGCTCCTCCCCAGCGAGGGGCCACTCCTGTGTGCGCAGCCGACGACGGGCCCCCCGACGCGGCCGCCGGCGCGCGCAACGGGGGCGTGGGGGGAGGGAGCGAGGGGCCCCAGGACACACGAAGAAGTAGACACAAATAAGACTATTCCCCGTTCTTCGCTCGCTGAGGCCAGGGCGCAGGCCGTCGCGGCGCGAGCCTGCCCGTCGAGAGCCGTGCGAGCAGATCGCCCGCCCGAGACGGGGGGCCCTTGCAGGCGCGGTGGCGGGGGCTCGCGCGGCGAGGCGCGCCCCGCCGGTGCCGATGGTGGTGGTGGTGGTGGTGGTGGTGGTGGTGGTGATCGTGATGACGATGATGATGACGATGATGATGATGATGATGATGATGATGATGATGATGATGATGATGATGATGATGATGATGATGATGATGATACTGATACTGATGATGATGATGATGATGATGATGGTGATGATGATGATGATGATGATGGTGATGATGATGATGATGATGATGGTGGAGATGCCGACGATGAGGATGATGCCCAGGACTGCATGTATGACGATGACGATGATTATGAGGAGGAGGAGGAGGGGGCCGAGGAGGAGGAGGAGGAGCTGGAGGATGTTATGATGATGTCAATGATGACGACGATGAGGATGATGAAGCGGATCAGGATGATGGTGATGTTGCTGATTGTGCACATGATGAGACGATTGTGACGATGAGGATCTTGGATATGAAGATGCTTCTGATGCCTCTGATGCTGCTGATGATGACGATGACGATGATGATGATGGTGATGATGATGATGATGATGATGATGATGATGATGATGATGATGATGATACTGATGATGATGATGATGATGATGATGATGATGATGATGGTGATGGTGATGACGTTGATGATGCTGATGCCGATGCTGATGCAGGTGGTGGTGATGTTGATGGTGCTGGTGGTGCTGGTGAGGAGGATGATGATGCCGATGCTGCTGATGATGATGACGATGATTCTGATGACGATGACGATGATGATGATGATGATGATGATGATGATGATGATGATGATGATGATGATGATGATGATGATGATGATGATGATGATGCCGAGGACGGTAATGGAGATGACGGCGATGACGACGACGGCAAGGATGGTGTTGTCGATTATGCTTATCTGCATGATAATTCGGATGACGCTGATGGCAATGAGTAGGTTGAGCATGACGCCGACGACGCTGATGACGATGGTGGTGGTGGTGGTGGTGGTGGTGGTAGCGACCATGTCGATGACGACGATGATGGTGATTTGTTTTTGTTGCTTATGCTTCTGATGACGATGATGAGGCTGGAGGCCCTTTTGTCAGCTTGCAAAGCCTAAGCATTGAATCCTGGGTGGATTTCGAAAGTTCTCTGCGGAATCAGCGAGCCGCATGTGCACGAAAAAACAGTTTTGAATTTTGAGGCGAATATGTAAGCTGCGCGCGCTTCGGAGTGGTCGTCGAATAACCTCGGGTAGCGACGCCGGCGGGCCCCACGTGCTTCCACCTCGTGCAGACTGCATCACAATCATCCTTCCTCCGCTTGTCCCCCTGCTATTTCAGTTGATGCTGCTGTTGCTGCTGCTCCTCCCCCCCCAGGCGCACGCGTTCGAACATGATCGATTGCCTTCTCCAAGAAGCAGGAACAAATCCTCACAATGCTTTCTGAGACCTGACAGCCTGACTTTTACTGCCTCCTGCAACCACCAGAAGC